TATATATATATATATATATATTTCATAGTAAAACATTTTAATTCTGAGAGTATGGATATGATTCTAATGTCCTAATGTAATACATGAGTTACGTAATTTTTACGATACCATAAAATATTTGACCTTGAATGACCTATTTGTGGCAATCTGACCAGGTAAAAATGGTAATGGTATGGTATATACATTGAATGACCTTAAATGACCTTTTATGATCTTAATGACCATCTGAGCATGTCACAAGTGTTATAAATCCTTGACCATGAAATATAATTTTAGATATAATTCTCATTAAAGTGGTTTAAAAACTGATATATTAATAAATATAGGATTTGCGTGGCAGCAATTTCGAAATTCAAGATGGCCGCCAGAATGACCTCGAATGAAATACTGAATTTTGAGAGTCAGTGTATGGTTCTCATGTAACATATGACAATTATGTAATTTTTAAGATACCATACAATAATTGACCTTGAATGACCTTAAATGACCCATTTGTGGCAATCTGACCAGGTAAAAAATGGTGTGATGGTATTCCTTGACCATATAAAAATAGTTTCAGACATTAGAATTATAATTCCAAGTTGTTTAGAAGCGGAGATATAGATAAACATAGGTTTTATTAGGCGGCCATTTTAAAATCCAAAATGGCCGCCATAATGACCTCAGAAAATTGAATGCTATGACCATAAGGAGCATGTAAAAATTTTTGTTTTTTTGTTGTCCGCAACGTCCACATCCATCTGCTAAGCTGCCGGACTAATTGTTTTAACAGTAATATTTCTACTAGTAATAAACATTGCTGTAGCAGTAGAAATAATATTTTGAAAATGATGTTTTACCATACCGGCCTGCTCAGTATGTTGAAAAAAATACTCTAAAAAAATTGACACGTGTTCGTCTCGAACCAGGGCTATAGCTCAGCTACGGGTTGTACGCATGTACGGTATATTGGGCGGCCTGGGCCATGTCATAGTCAGGGGTGGCGTCACGATTTGCCCGACGGGGTGGGGGCTGAAGTCCACGGGGGCCGTTCCCCCAGACGAGGTATCAGATTTCCCCGACGAAAGCAAAGTGGGCGTGGTTGAGCTTCGATTAATAGGTTTTGAAAGTGGTCCTGGGGCGAGGCCTCAGAAAATGTCGACAATTTAGGGTTGCAAAGGCTTATTTAATCGATTTTAGAGTCTACTAATATGTAAAAAATACATATAATATTTTTCCCTTCCCGACGAATTGTGGCTTTTTTTCCCCGACGGGGAAGGAGGGTGGCAGCTCTCCCCGACGGGGGACCTTGCCCCCCCCCCGCTCGCGCCACCCCTGGTCATAGTAGGGATTTTTTTTAATGAAAAAAGTGAAAATCGATCAGTTTAAT